CCCCCCCCCCCCCCCGGCCACGGCAACCCGGCGCGATGTGACCTTTCCAAATGAAGATATCGCCTCGAGCCTTTGTACACGGCTGACTTTTCGCGCGTTGAAAATCGCCAAAGGTTAGCTCGCGCCCCCTCGAACTTAAATCCGACAGAATCGAACGAAAACTAATTTCCATTTCTTTATTTTTCAGATTAATGCCGGTACAGGATATTCTCGTTTTTATTATATTCTATTTTTTTATTTTTTAATTACAATTCTCGTTTCGCCATAATTCTTTTATATTACTATACAGAGTGTCCCAAAAATGTCTCGCGATACGAATGCGGCGGGTTCCTCGGGTCATTCGAAGCAACTTTTTCCTTTACAAAAATCTTCTCCGAGGCACCGTTAACGAGTTATCAACGAAAAAGCAGTGACCAATGAGAGGCGAGCTCGGCTGGCGCGAGGCGACCGAGCCAATGAGCGGAACCGGGCTTCGTGCGCTGGTTGGCCGGGCCGCCTCGCGTCAGCCGTACTCGATTCTTATTGGTCGCTGCTTTTTCGTTGATAACTCGTTAACGGTGCCTCGGAGAACAATTTTGCAAAGGAAGAAGCTGCTTCAAATGGTCCGAGGAACCCGTCATTTCCGGATTGCGAGACATTTTTGGGACATCCTGTATTATTCCTGTATTATTAGTATTATAGTATATAGTATTATAGTATATTATTAGTATTAGTCCTGTATTATTATATATATTTGCACAACATAATTATTATTTGACCAGTAACATATCCTGTCGATTTCAGGTGCCCTTTATCAGGAAGCAGTTTCGACCACGTTAAATTAAGTGCGCCTCTGATGCCGCGAGTCAAGGAGAGATCTCTCCCGAAGACGGTTCACCGGTGACGAGCTCGAGCCGCAGCACCCAGCGGTCCGTCTAGCGCGCGTCATGCATTATTCATTGATCAGGACCATTCAAGCCCTGCGTTCGGAAATAGTAATGCAGTTCACGAACGTCCCATTACATTCGTTCGTTTGCTACTTTCGATTTTGGTACACGAACAAAAAGAGAAAAAGAAAGCACAAGGCAGAACCCAACTGAAAACGCTTGGCGGCAGGATCGAAGAAATATCCAGAAGAAGGAATTTGCATGGGAGCCTAAATAACGCGGTATAATCATCCTACGGGACTCGTACTCGTGCTCTTCGACTTATCCACGACGTTCATGTTTGTAGAAAGTTCCGCGTGCTCGTTCGACGCACGGATGATTTATCGCGTCGCGAAGTGTCTTCGGTCTACCGGAGGCGCGAAAAATCTTTGCGGCCTGCGAACGACCACAAGCGGCGGACTGTAAAATCGTGCGTGTCCTATACACACCACCGAGGCAACCTAACAAGCCGGCCTTTGTAATGGATTTACAAAACGACCATGGAAATCCCTGCCGAACATTGTACGGAAGAATAGTCCGTCGCGGGAAACGATCACGCGACAACCGTCCAACGCTGTGCACGTATTTCAAGTTTATTAACCCTCGAAGACTCGAGAGCCTAGGACCGACCTAACCTCTATCGTTGCACTAGTCTGAACGACAGTTCTGAATGTTTTGCGTGCTGGATCAGCTTCGTTAGCCGGTGTTATTTTACACTCGAATAATTTAGTCTCAGATTAACACGTTGAACGCCACGTCACCCATATCTGGTTAACAGCTATGTTTTCGCAGGCTTATACTAACAAATTATACTTATAATTTAAATTTGTTTCTATAATATTAATATTAATATTATAATATTATAATATTTTATTAGTTATATATTATATATTATAATATATATTATAATATTTTATTAGTTATATATTACATATTATAATATATATTATAATATTTTATTATAGTTACGATGGAATTCGTTGAAACGTTGTAAACATAACTGCAGTGACTCTGGACACTCAGGACAATAACGTTACAGTGTTTTGTAAATTTGTTGTTGCTTCGTGGCGATTTACACTGGGCGTTCAACGTGTTAAAAGCAAAAACTCGGCAACCGGTGCCGAGATACAAATACGTTCGTCGTCGAGCGATAGTTCGATCCATTTTCGTTGGACAAAAAATAATTGTCGTCGATTCGATAGCAATTAGCGCGCGTACAGGTTAGTTAGCCGCTCGGATTCCCACTGTTTCACAGATGATTTTATTAAAGACAGACACGCTTCGGGTCGGTCCCGATAAACATCTGCGGCGGGATATATCTTCTGGTAAATCGGAGGCGGACCCGTCGACGTATTTTACGGTCCGTGCCAGGCCGATACCGATCTGCCGGTAGACTCGAATATATAGTACACGCGGATATATGGAAATCAGAATTCGGATTAGCAAATAAGGTGAAAAGAAAGATCTCGGTGGAAGGAACCAGTTTTTAAACGTCTTTGGCCGGGGTCTTCCTTCTCGTTCCTTCCTCCAATTCTCCTTCGCACTTCGACTTCTGTCCCCCCTCCTCTTCCTTCTCCTCTCGCTTCTCTCTCTCTCTCTCTCTCTCTCTCTCTCTCTCTCTCTCTNCCGATCTGCCGGTAGACTCGAATATATAGTACACGCGGATATATGGAAATCAGAATTCGGATTAGCAAATAAGGTGAAAAGAAAGATCTCGGTGGAAGGAACCAGTTTTTAAACGTCTTTGGCCGGGGTCTTCCTTCTCGTTCCTTCCTCCAATTCTCCTTCGCACTTCGACTTCTGTCCCCCCTCCTCTTCCTTCTTCACTCGCTTCTCTCTCTCTCTCTCTCTCTCTCTCTCTCTCTCT